GGAAACCAGTAAAAAGGGACCATTGTCTTCTAGATTCTAATTCTCTCCATGCTTACTCTTGATTTCTCAGAATCCTTTCTTACATGCTATGTCCTCTTTAAATCCAAACCTTCCATTTTGATAACAAATAAGTTTTTCTAATAGCAATCTCAGAAGTCTCCAGAAGGAAGATGGGGCCCCAACAACAACTCTACCCAATCCAGAATGATGCCATGGTAATCATCATCATACTACACTTCTTACCAGAATTTCAGACAATCTTACCCATTACTCTAAGACTTATTGCAGAACCTACAGTTAGTCTAACTGAGATTTAACTATCTGAGCTTTCTCACAGTACCCAACAGAGATAACATCACCCCCTAACAGCAGGAAGCAATTCTAAGAAAATGACGCCCCTTCTCCCTTAGGTTTCATAATTCTCAGGGTTATGGATGATGGTTATAGGGTTGGGGGTGGAAGAAAATATTAAACTCAGTATTCTAAAAAAAAAGAGAGAGAAAAAAGGGAAAAGAAGAAATGGAATGGATAGGTATAAGATATTATGGTAGATTATTGTATATACTAGTAAACAAATTTAGTAAAATAGAAGCCTTAGATAATTTGCATTGTAATTTGCACTGTTATGGATTCTTATATGTTGATACAAATGTAAACTATTTTTATATTCCTGTTTAAGATAATTTGTATGTTGATACAAATACAGAACTATATTTGTTATAATGTACATATATTTCTACTCTTATTTGAAATATTTGTATATTGATACAAATGTAAATTTATATCTGTCATACTTTATGTAAGTTCTACTTCTGTTTAGGATATTCGGTATATTGATATATATTTAAGATTATTGTCATATTGCATATCACACTACATACTCCTACCTCTGTTATAAATATTGATGTATATTTAAGATTATTGTCATATTGCATATCGCACTATATACTCCTACCTCTGTTATAAACATCTTGTGTATTGTCACAATTTTGAAGTCATCGTTCTTTACCATACATTTGCTTATAGACTGTTTACCTTGTTTATGTGAAGCCTTAGTCCTTAGGTTATTTTGGTAGATAAGACTTATAGATTTATAGTCACCTATGCTTGTCATCTCTATAGTTACGTTAGTTAGGTTATCCAGATTTACAGATACATAGATCAGATGGACAGGTAATCTTCAAACACTTCATAGACCTAGAGAATATGGCATTTAAATAACTTAGAATTCTGTTGACGTGAGACACAATTGCTCCTGGCTGCACCAATTTGATCCCGAGAGAATGTTGGGCTTCTAAGACATTTCCATTTAGAAGTTTGTCTTCTTGGCACAAAATGGCCTACTGGGCAAAGAACTGCCCTTGCCTCGACGGCTGACAATGCGAATGCAATGCTGTCCTTTCTGGACAAGTGGGACACAAGAAAAGCTACCACTGTACTCTGCCAAGACAGGGTAAGATGGTCTTTCAGAATTCCTGCTTCTAAAAATGGTCTATCAGATACTTTAGGCCTGTAGCCAATTTGAATGCACCAACAATGCTAAGAAACATTAGGTGACTGTCCAGGTTGCCAGCTGTCTCGGTTTACTCTTGCAAGATTCCCAAAAGTTGCTTGCATCCATCTACCATTTCTCAGGTACCATTATATTCCTTCTCAGGTCTTTGATGGGATTGAAGACTAGCAGTTATAGTTACAACTTAGTAGATAGAACATATTAAGTATTAGATTCAGGTTCTTTAAGATAGGACACCTTTTGGAATGATCTTTGTAACATGCCATTTACCTATGCTCTATACTTCTCTGGATTTTAGTATGTGTTTCTTGTTTGATATTGTTTGCATTGGTTGTAGTTCCATCTTATCTAGGTCATTATCCCTCATTATTCCTGGACAATATTTGATAACCATTCCTTTGTATATAGTCTTGTATTAGGTTAGAACCTTCTTGTTTAGACAAAAAGGGGGAGATGTAGTGGGTAGCCATTCCAGCTTTGATCTGGAAGTTGCAACCCCCATTGAGACTTCGCAACTGTCACGCCTACAAGGCGGGGCCAAGGGAGGCGCCTGGAGACCTGAGATCTGGATGGGCGGAACTTGCACTCGGTTCCAGGACCTTGGACAGTGAAGGTGAGCCAAGCAGAGCTCCAGAGAACACCGCTGGACTGCGATACACCTTCCCTAGACCCCGCGACCTACCTATCCCTTAACTTGTAAGTTATGCCATTAAATAAATCTCCTTTTAACTACGTGGAGTGGCCTTAATAATTTCACCAATATGTTGTTATGATTGATTGATTGATTGATAAATAAATAAATAAAATGCTGATTGGCCAATAGCCAGGCAGGAAGTATAGTATAGGTGGGATAAGCAGAGAGGAGAATTCTGGGAAGTGGAAGGCTGAGTCACGAGATGCTGCCAGTCTCTGCCGCCATTAAAAGCAAGATGTAAAGTACCGGTAAGCCACAAGCCACGTGGCAAGGTATAGATTAATAGAAATGGGTTAATTTAAGATATAAAAGCTAAATAACAAAAGGCTTGAGCCATGGTCATACAGTTATAATTAATATGAGCCTCTGTGTGTTTACTTGGGTGTGAATGGCTGAGGACTGGGAGGGACACAAAAAAACTTCAGCTACAGAGTAGCTATTGATGCAACTTGGATGGCTCTGTAGTTACTAATGCAGTGGAGATGACTCTCACAGATCCTGTGCTGAGGTCAGACGTGAAGCAGGAGTTAGACACTAGGCAATGCTTTTTGTAGGGTTTCACTGATGTCCAGGAACCAACGAAACTACTCTGTAGTGATTGAAATCGGAGCCCAGGTGCCTCTCGCCAGGTTGCTGGGTGATTTGAGAAACTGGAAAGGAACACAAAGGAATATTCCAGAGAAATGAAAATGCCCCAGCTCTTATTTGGGTGGTATATACAATTGTTAAATGCAATTATTATTGATTATATAAAATTCGTGGACTTTAATGTTTGAAAATCACGTCAGTTTTAAAGTTTGTTGGTCACGTAACCATGCCTCTAACATTGTGTATTTGTTTGCTCACCTTTTCAGTCACAAATCAGGACACATTATCTTCACACACACACACACACACACACACACACACACACACACAACTATCTTGTGTATTCCACTATCCTTGAACTTGTTATGCAGCCAAGACTGAGGATGATCTCCTGATCCTCCTGCCTCAGCCTCTGGAATTCTGGGACTCCAGGACCGCACTACCACATCTAGTCTTTCCTTTGTGTGTGTATTAAATTGACCTATATGAAATTACAAAATGTTCAATAGTTTTGTCCTATAAAAATAAAATTCTTATGATCTAAACTAACAGGTTTTTTTTTTATATGTTTTTGGATTATTTCCTTAGATTACATTTTCAGAGAAGGGTATGGAGCAAAATTCTTCAACACAAAAGGCTGTACTGGATACTCCTACCTTCCTTTACCTGCCATTCTATAAATTGATATTCTAGCCTTTTAAGTCTCTGCCTTGTACCTTACTTTGAGTTATTTGCACTTTGTAGTCACCTGCACACCTTCCCATCTGTTTACACACTCTACTGCCCATCAACCTACTAAACACATTCTGCATCAGTATGTGTACAGCTGACAGTCCTTAACTATGAAAACAAAAACAAACAAACAAACAAACAAAAACCAAACACGCTAGCTAAATACTGATGACTCCAGGAACACAACTGTTAGGTCTCAAACTTGAGACAAACATGCTAGGTGCCTATTTAACACATCAAAGTGGACCTGGCTGCCAGGTTCTTCCAGAATCCCTCAGTCCTTACCTATTACAGGGTCCTTCTGACTGTCACACCCTGCCCCTACCCTTAACTTCTCCAGCTCAGGGGCTAGGCTACCCTTCCTCCAGATGTCTAACCAGCCATGTTGGGTACCTGCCCCTTAATTCCTCTACTCTTTATACTCCTGACTTTCCCCTCTCTCCTACCCCCTCTCCCCACTGGGCTCAGCTAAAGGTCAGGTTCACTCTGGACTCTCCCAGATGTCTCTGCCTCTGGCTATGATCTCCCTTTTATATGCAATAATAAACCTTCTCCTCCACCATAGCTAGGAGCAGTTATGTCCTTTCTTTTTATTTCTTTTTTTTTTTCATTCAACAACAATTTCTTTTTTCTCTATCCTAGTAGTGTCTTGTGCGTTTTACTCATTCATTCAACAAACTTTTTCAGTTTTACGCAAAGGACCAGTAACTGTAAAGTGCAACAGTCTTTCAAAAAGTTCTGAATTAAACACTGCCTGTTTCAAGTATCTCTTTATTATCCCAATAGTCTAATTTAACATTCGTACCCCAGGTTTTACGTTTCCACACCAGGACCTTCTAATGTTTATCAGTGCTCTAATTCAAAACAAAAACTGTAGCCTATGTTGTGGTGTATACCTTTAATCCCAACGCTTAGGAAGCGAGGCCAGACTGAGGGTTACATAGTGAAACTTTGTCTCAAAAAAACAAAACTGTGAACATTTAGTTGTAAGTGTATTAACTCTGAAAGCATAGTTCCCAACGCCCTGTGAATAATTCCTTAAAACGCAACCCTAGGGAATTTGAGACCCAGGTAATTAATAAAATCTAAGCCAGTCCAGTGGCCAAGGACTTTTCACAAGTCTAAGGACAAAGGAGTCATTAATATTCTTTAAGGACAACTGTGTAATGAAAATGTAAATCGCTGCAGCAGAAAGCACAACGTAATTTTCTGAGTGTCTCCACGATAAACAACCAAGACGCCCTGCAGCGAAAAAGTGGCTAAGACGCGCCCTAACCCGGGTGCCAGAGACGAGGTCACCGCAGGCAACAGCAAGGGGACGAGGGGCGTGGTAACCAAAGGCCGGCCCCGGAGAGGGTGTGGCTACGGACAAAACAGGGAAGGGGCGTGGTTAGAGCGGCCATAGGAAGGGTGTAGTTATACGGCCCTGGGGAGGGGCGTGGTTAGGGCGGGTCTAAACGAGGGCTGTGCCTATGGGATGGGGCGTGGCAAGGGCGGACTACCGCGCCCGCCGCCCCCGGGCAGGAAAGGGCAGGTCTGCACCGCTGCCCACGCTCGCTCCCGCGGCGACTCGTGGTCGGGGCCGCGCGGGAGCGACATGCCTGCGCGCCCGGGCCTGTGACCCGCTCGGGGATGGACAGCGGCTCCGTGGCGGGCGAGCGGCCGAAGCGCACGCCGGGCCGTCAGCGGCTCCTGCCCTTCGGCTGCGGGGTCCAGGCGCGCCCCGGCGTCTCCCCGCTGCCCGGCGGACGACGCTGGCTGAGGCTCCGCGGACGGGCCGCCCGCGCGTCCCCGCTGCTGCTCGTCCTGCTCGTGCCCTCCCCGCGCCTGGCCGCCACCGCCCCGCGTAGGACGCTGGCTGAGCGCACGCGCCCGGGCCACGCCGTCCCCGCGGTTGCGCTCGGCGCCGGCAGGAACGCGCAGGGCCGTCTGCCGCTGGGCGTCGGGCGTGTGGCCGCCCTGGCCAGCAGCCGGAGAGGTGAGGCGGGCGGGAGACGGGTCACCCAGGTTGCCCGCATGGGAGGGCACCCGCTGACAGCATGCTCGGGTCTGCCCCGGCGCACCTGTTGGAGCCAGGGAGAAGTGGGGAAAGTTCTGGAAGCGGATGCCCAGGCGTGCAGGTCCGAGGGGAGCAGATCCGGGAATGAAGGGATGGTATTGCGCTTTGATTTGATTCCAAACTGTATTGATTCATTCTTGGCCCTCTGGCATCCATTCTGTGCCTGGCACTTCACTAGCTGTTTGGGGTAATTAGTTCAACAAAATCTTTTTTTTTTTTTTCCTGAAGCTTACTTACGCAAGATATGCAGCATGTATGTGCATATGTACTTATCCATATTAACTTTATTAATATGACATACTTTGGAGAAAAAGAGAGGCAGTATGCATAGGAGATGACGAGGACCTCCATTTGTGCGTTGAATTGGGTGACTGTAGTCTGATGCATTGATGTGTCATTTAAGTACTTGAAGGAGGGGAGGGACATCACTGAACTGAGTAAGATTTTGAAAGTAAACTAGCTGGAATTTGCTCGCAGTAAATAGCAGATAAAATCTTATCGTGTCGGCTAATCAGAAAACGTGGCATAATTACACCTTGGATAACCTGTTTCTGTCCATTAGTAGCCATCCGCACCCAGCCGTATTTTTCAATGAGTATTGCCTGCATCTAAAATTTAAGAATACCTGTGGCTAGGGGAGAAACTGATAAATAGTTCTGAAAGATGAAGGATGCTTTACACGCAGATAGGTGTTGGAGCCCACAGAGGTTTCCTAGTGAGAGCTGAGCTTGCTTTACCAGCAGGGCTGTATAAAAGGATGATTGGACCATGGGCCTGGGTACCAGGTGTTTGGAAGGGTCTACACTTGGTTGTAGCTAGCAAGAGGGAGGTCTTTTGCCTGCCCCTTGGCATTGTTATAAAAAGCCTTTTGAATAAAGTTCTGGGCCAGTGCATAAGGATCCAGGCCCTCCTGAGGCTATCCCGTGTTTCTGTCTGTCTCCTCTCCCCTCTATATTTCTAAATCTCTTATCCCTCACTCTTCAAGAGTACCTTGGGGAAAAAGGTGGGGATGGGTCTCGCAGGGCTAGGGAAATGAGCAGTGAGCTTTATATCAGTCTTGTAGGAACTAGGAGTTGGAGGTGGGTCTGGCCTTTCTATGTACTGTTTTGATTTGTTTTGTTTTGAGACAGGGTCAGAACTATGTAGTCTGGGCTGGCCTCAACTTTACTGCAGTCTCCTGCACCTCCCAAGTGCTGGGGTTAAAGGCTAGGCTACCACACCCTGCTTTCTGTACTTTTGACAAAGTGTTGCCTTCCAATCTGTTTGCTTCACAAAATTTACTATTTTGGAGCAAAGGAAGGGGTTCTTTCTTGTTGCATTAGCAAGATGGTGCCATTTTAGTGGCATTCGTCAGTCAGACATGAGGATAGATGGATTTTTAAAAGGGAAACAGCAGAGACAGTAGGAAGCTTTCATGCCCATTTTTGTTCCTTTATTCTCAGCCCAGGGTTGGTGGTTTGGTTTTGTGCCTCAGGTCCTCAATAGATAGATCCACTTCAAGATGTTGTGCCTTGAAAATTTGCAGTTGGTTTCTCCTCTCTTCAAGGTTAACTTTGGACTTCTTTTGTAATTATGGGTTTAACATCCTTTTGCTCTGATGAAGGTTTCCAGAAAGGAGAATTATGTGTTACATTCTAATGCACCTCAAGTTACTGGCTTCCTACTGTGAGTCCTAGGAATTCAGAACTGCTATGTCCACACTGTTGTCCTTTGACAGAGAATGAGGTGGCATTCCCTTCCCTCAGCAGGAGTGGAATGCCAACTGAGAAGTGGCCAGCCCTTTTCCCTACTTTTTAGAAGATAGCTTTCTTGAAATAAGCTTGCTATTTCTGGTTCCAGTTGTTTTGGGAAAAAGAAAAAAAAAACATAAGTGTACAAATCACTGCTAGCTCTTGGTAGCAGTGGTGGTGTGTGGGTCTGGGGACTTATCTCGGTGGATAAAATACTGAAGCAGGAGGACCAGACAGAGTTCAGATCCCCAGAACATAAATACTGGGCTTGCATAGTGATCTGCCTGTTGTTTGTTTGTTTGTTTGTTTGTTTACTCTTTTGGACTTTTGGAGGGGGCCTGCCACTCAGCTCCCAAATAAATCAAGCACAGAGGCTTATTCTTAATTATAAATGCCCAGCCTTAGCTTGGCTTGTTTTTAGCCAGCTTTTCTTAAATTATCCCGTCTACCTTTTGCCTCTGGGCCTTTTCCTTTTCTTTCTTCTGTATATCTGACTTTTACTCTTACTCTGTGGCTGGTTGTGTGGCTGGCCCCTTCTTTTCTCACTCCTTGATCTCTCTTGCTCTTTCTTCTCCTCCCAGATTTCTTCTATTTATTCTCTCTGCCTGCCAGCCCTATCTATCCTTTCTCCTGCCTTGCTACTGGCTGTTCAGCTCTTTATTAGACCATCGGGTGTTTTAGACAGGCACAGTAATACAGCTTCACAGAGTTAAACAAATGTTCCACAGCATAAACAAATGTAATACACCTTTTTTTTTCTTTTTGGCTTTTCAAGACACGGTTTCTCTGTGTAGCTTTGGAGCCTGTCCTGGAACTCACTTTGTAGACCAGGCTGGCCTTGAACTCACAGAGATTCGCATTGCAGAACTCTGCCTCCTTAGTGCTGGAATTAAAGGCATGCACCACCACCACCTGGCTAACACATCTTAAAATAATATTCCACAGTATTTCCCCCTTTTTGTCTAAATAAAAACGAAAGGTTTTAATATTAACATAGTAAAACTACATAAAACAAAAGCAATTATCAAGTAAGAATTACATTTACAATATTCTGTACATTTATAGTTCAGAGAAAATAATGCATTATCTATCCTTAGTCCAAAGTTTTACACCTAACTTTCTATCATAACTAAGGAAAACTGCAACTATAACTATCTAGTCTTCAACTCCATCAAAGACCCAGAAGGATGTAATACTATCTAACAATAGAGACATTTGGCTGCCTGGACAGTCACCCAAAGTTCCTCTGCAATGTTGGGGCATCCATCTTCAACCTACAGGTCCAGAATATCTGGCAAACTTTTCAATGAAGCAGGAAATTTGAAGGACTGTCCTGCCTTGTATTGACAAAGTTTGTCAGTCACTTTCCTCTGTGTCCTGCAGAACATCTGGCAGACTCTTCTGTGAAGCAGGAATTTTGAAGGACTGTCCTGCCTTGTTTGGGCCAAGTTCAACAGTCATTTTCCTGTAGGTCCTGCATGTCCAGTCTGTACAGCACATTGTCAGCAGTCAAAGGAAAGAGCAGTTTCTTTGCCCAGTGGCTAACCTTGCCACAATGAAAGCAAACTCCATAAGAAGTTTCTTCAATGCCCATCATCTTCTCTGAAGTACATTATGCTGCCAGGAGCAGATGTGTCTCATTGTCATGAAACACCTTAAGTTAATGAAACATTTTAAATGCCATATTCTATAGGTTTTTGAAGTGTTTGAAAACCATTTATCTATCTAAAATATATCTCTATATGATCTAGAAAACATGCCTAACATATCTACAAATTTGATTGTTATAGATGACTAACTACTAACCTATGTTTCTTGATTATCCTAAGTTGTTTATAATAATAGCTTTCAAAAACTAGAACTTTACCTTATATTTTAAACGAACTGCATAGGTACAATACCTTAAACAAAGGTAGAAACATATATACAGTGTATTGTAACAAAAATTACCTTAAATTTGTATCAATATACAAATCCTTTAAACAAGAGTAGAAACATATTTACAGTGTTATAACAAAATTACCTTAAATTTGTATCAATATACAAATGTCCCTACAAATACAAAAGATTTGAATTTATAGTTGTTCTTCAGTTTATAGTAGATTCAGTAATCTACACTACTATTTAAAGTAGATTCAATAATATACCCTTTTATCTTATCACTCCTATATTCCTCCTCCTTTTTTTTGAAATAGATCCTGAATGTAATCTCATTTGTATAGTTTCCTCCCTTGCCAATACCAGTAACAATTAACAAACAACCCCTATAAAGGATGACAAACATCCATAACCCACCGAATGACCAAATACCGTTCTACCCACCTCTTGGGAATATGGGTGTCACGTTCTCCAAACCACTTCCTGCTGTCTGTAGACAAAGTATCTTTAGGGTCCTTGAGAAAATTTGAGATAATGGCCAAGTCCTGGGAAAACCAGCTATAACCTTTGTGGATAGATATCACCTGTCAAGTTTCAGGAGGTCTCCCTTGATCAAACCTGATCCATATTAGTTCTGAAGGAATCCACAACCTTTTGTCTCCTGTGGGAACAAAACTTGAAAGCATTTTTTATTTCCATTTGACAAATGTATTTTTTTACTTCTTTTTTAAGGTTAAGGCATTCCTAAAGTATCTAGGTTGGTTCAGTTAGCAGTCCAGTCCATAACCCCATGTCCCTCAACAGCTGTTGTCTGCTTGTCAACATTCAGAACATTCAAAGTCAACACAATAACATACAGGATCCAGACTCTCTGTGCATTTCTCATCTTTATGTGGCTTATTCTTTTTTTATTATTTTACTTCTCTCTTTAAAGGCCTTATTTTTAAACTATTTATTTCTTTCTATGACTGTCCATACCCTTTTTCTTTCTTTCTTAAGCCTACACACATTGTAAAACACATTGGAAACTGTTTAGAGGTTTTTCTTTCTGGACTTCTTTTACTGTGTATCTTTTAGCCTTTTTTGACTATACCAGCAAACTTTAGACTACTAAACTACACCTAGATCCTCTAAATCCATGTGGCTCTCTTGGCTGGCTCTGCTCACTTCTAGGTTTGTGACAGCCAAGCCTAAAGCTTTCAGCCCTGTCCGAGTTTGTGACTGAGAACTGGATTAAACCTTCCTAGCTGTAGGAAGCTGGTACCTGTGCAGTCACAAGTATATTTGACTTATCTTGCCATTTATATTTAG